GAAAAAAGCAGAAAAAACCCCCAGTACAATTCCACTTTATTAAAGCTATGTATAAAATTAGTTAAGCCATACAGTCTTAATTAATTATATTATTTTATATATTATTTAACATATAATATATAATGGGTACACATGTAAATTAATTGGGTTAAATTATATGTGGGGTTATATGTCCCCTAAAAGATTTTTGAAAATAATGCTTTTAAAATTATACCAAATACACCAAATGGAACTACAGCATTCGCCTCTTGGATTACAGACAGCAATTTTTACTTTTCACATCACGTATCAATTGTGCATTTTTTAAATTTTACAATAAACTTGAAATACATGCATAATTTAAAGACTGAAATAGTGACTAAAACAGTAACACTGTTGCCTTTTAGATGAGTAAATACCTAACATTAAAATCCAGTACTGGTGAGAATATGAGGACAAGGGCCCTCTTACCTGGGATGGGTGAGTGTCGACTGGGGCCACATTAACAAATGCCATTTGTTGTACCTATTGCGAGTTAAACTATGCATACCACTTTATGTAGGAATTCCACTTCTAGGAAGCAGTCAATAGAAATATCTGGACAAGGAGGCAAGAAACAGGTAATAATGATAACAGCAAACACAACAGCTATCACTTAGGAAATGTTTCATATGTCCTTGGTGCTGTGTACTTAACAGAAAGAAATGAACCACACACCCTTATATAAAAGCTGACTCTGTGCCAGGTGCTTCTCTGCCTTATGGAATCCATACAAGAACCTGTGAAGTGGGCACCCTTGGTATGCCCATTTTACAGATAAGTAAGTTACAGCATGCAAACAGGACAGAACGCACTCGAAGTCATACAGCTAGTGAGTAGCAGAGTATAGGGTTTGAATCTGGGCAGTTGACTTCAGACTCTGTGCTGGACCACTATACTGGAATTTAGTAAGTCACACAAACTTAATAACAGCTCCCAGAGATAAGTGTTTGTGCTGTATTGTTGAGTCTGGCTAGCACATACAGCCCTTCTTATGTTTGTTGGAGGACAGAACCCACCTACCACTAAAGGAACCAAAGAAGCCAGATATTCACTTTGCCAGGTTCCCTTGCAGCTAGGAGCAAGCAAGAGACTTGCTTGCACAGCCAGGTGTACAAGGAGGACTCTGACACAGAGACACGCCCCGTGTCACTAAATTCCAGTATAGTGGTCCAGCACAGAGTCTGAAGTCAACTGCCCAGATTCAAACCCTATACTCTGCTACTCACTAGCTGTATGACTTCGAGTGCGTTCTGTCCTGTTTGCATGCTGTAACTTACTTATCTGTAAAATGGGCATACCAAGGGTGCCCACTTCACAGTTTCTTGTATGGATTCCATAAGGCAGTAGGGAGTGGGCTTTGCTTGGTGTGGGGCAGGCAGATGTGGGGATGGCATCCAGCCGCAGCAGCTCCAGGCTCCAGTGCTGCCGGTGTGGCCAGGGCTGTACTTGGTATCTGAGAGGCAGAGGCATGTTCCAAGAGTGGGGTCTACACTAAGAAGAGGCTCTCTGGCTGCTCCTAGCAGCAGTTCAAGCACACCTGCCACAGGGACCTTATGACTCATGGGATCCAATGGTACAAAATCTGGGGCCTGGGCTTGACAAACTGGGGGGGGGGGGGGGGGAATCCAGGTGGCTGTGACAAGCAAACCCAGGAGAGTCCTGTGGTGGCCCCAAAAGGATGTTGAAGCCCAGGCCACTTGAGCAAGTAACACCTTCTTTTGATAAATAGTCTTTTGAGAGCTTCTGGTCCCAACAGAAATCAAATATGGAACTATGGGACACCAGGTGACTTTGAGACCAATGACCATCTGGCTGGTCCAGAATCTCACAAGCCCCAGGGTTCCCCATCCTCAAGTAGAGCTGGGTAGAGCCTGAGAATATCCTGGAGGAAGAAAGAAGCCACAGATGCCCTGGTGTGCATCTAGGTTGCCTTGTCTTGCCAAATAGCATCTCCTTCCTCAGTCTACTCCGATGGCTTCAGGAGAAGTTATGCAAGAAAGGTATTAGAAAGAAAGAACATTCAAGCTTGTATTACAGGAAGACAGCACCTTCCAAGTATAGAGTGCCAACCTCAGGGTGCAGTTTGTACCCTGAACCAACAACCATTCCATAGCACCATTTCTCTCTCAGCCAGAATCCATGATGGGCCCAGGAACAGAGAGAGGTGGGAGTGGGGCCTCTCACAGTTTTCCCTAGTAACCTGTTCACAACAATTTCACTTGCAGTCCCTACCTCTGGGCTCTGCTGGTATCAAGGTTTGCTAGCCTGCACAAAGAGGAGACACTAATAGTTTCACTGAACCAGAACCTGAGACAGCTACCTGGCTGTTTTTGGCTTTTTATGCTGTTGAGTGAGTGGGCAGCAAAGGGAAGAAGATGATACCTGGGATGATTGATCCTCATGATTTAGAGACAATGATGTTTCTGTTACGTGATAGGGTCAGGGAGGGGAACACCCCAGGGACACCTTGTTCCTCCATGTCCAGTGGTTAACAGGAGACTAAAGCTGCAGAAGCAAGATAACCAAGAATTCAGGTCCTCCAGGAATGAAGGTTCATGTTGCTCTATAAGAAAAGAACCAACTTAAGTCCTGGCTGTATAACTGATGGTTTAGAGGCTGAGTTCTGGTACCAGACTGGGCTCAAACCTTGGCGCTAACACATGCGCAATGTGTACCTCTCTCTACTTTAGTTTCCATACCTGTAAAATGTGGATAATAATGGTTCATGCTTCAAGTGGCTATATGGGAATTAAGTGAGTAATACTTGTAAAGCACTTAGGACAGGGTCTGGCATGTAGCAAACACTTTATAAATGTTAGGTGTTATTAAGGCAAAGGAAAGGAAACTAGCTAGTCATAAATACTAGCCAGTCTCAGGATCAGATGCCAAAATGAGAATGGTGCACATAAAAACTTGTATGAGAATGTTTATACCATTTTTTAAAATCCTCATCTAAAGACATTCTTATTGAGTTTTTAGAGAGAGGGGAACAGAGAGAGAGAAATGTCAATGTGTGAAACATTGATTGGTTGCCTCTTGTACGTCCTCTGACAGCCTGCAACCTAGGCATGTGCCCTAACAACCTTTCAGTTTACGGGATGACTCTCAAACCAACTGAGCCACACCAGCCAGGGCTGTTTATACTATACAAGTTTCATTTATAACAGATAAAAACTAGAAAGAAGCAATCAAGATATCCTCGTGTGTGCATGATTGAACAAACTATGATACATCCACACCATGGTAACTACCCAGCAGTAAAAAACAAAAACAAACAAACAACCACTGTTGTGCAGCAAAGGAAACTATCAAAAAATGTAGAGGCAATCTGCTGAATAGTAGAAAATATCTGTAAATCATGTATCTGTTTAGGAGTTAATACCCCCAAAATATAAGAAAATCATGCAACTCAGTAGAAAAAACAAAGAAGTCAATTCAAAAATGAGCAGAGAAGAAGACAAGAAATAACAAGTGCTGGTGAGGATGTGGAGAAAAGAGTACCCTTGTAATAGTGGACTTCCTTGTCTGTAGTTCCTGATTTGACTATTTCAGCAATTAATATGTGTATTATTGGTTTTTGGCAAATAGGCATTATTATGTTGACGTCTTCTATTTACATCCCTATTTTGCAGAGTATTATTAGGAATTGCGGCTGATTTTCTTAAGGTACTTTTGGGGGGCATCTATTGATATGAGCCTATGGGCTCTCTCCATTACTTTATAGATATAGTAAATTATATTCACTAAATTATGAAAAACAATAAATATAATATCTATAATCCATATAAAGGAAAATATGAACCCTTTAAAGAAATGACTCTATGGAAGGTGAACCACATTTCTAGCTGGGAAAATTTAACATAAAAATATCTATCCTTCTGCCCTGACCCGTGTGGCCCAGTGGGTTGGGTGTCATTCTGCAAAGCCAAAGGTCTCTGGTTTGTTTCCCAGTCAGGGCACATACCTGAGTTGCAGGTTCAATCCCAGTCAGGGTATGTACAAGAGGCAACCGATTCATGTTTCTTTTCCTCTTCTTCTCCCTCCCTTCCCCTCTCTAAAAAAAACACATTTTAAAAATCTTTTCGAAATATCAATCCTCTTTAAATTAATTAGTAATTATTTTCTATTAGGAATTACCAAGGATTTGAAAGAATGAAAGAAATTATTTTAAAGCTTATGTGGAAGAATAAATGGATAAAAAATGCCTGAAAAGTTTTAAAAACTTTTTTAGGGGTTATTGCCTTACTGTTAAAAATTATTACAAGTAACTGCATTACTGGAACAGAGCCTCCAAAGAGATTTACAAATATGTTATGACTTATTTGACCAAGTTAATCAAAGAAAAAGGATATTTAGTTGTACATAGTGTTGGAATAACTGTGTACTGATCTGAAAAAAATTAAGTTGCATCCACTATCTTATATCACCTATGAAAACAATACCCAGTGACAATAAAGATCCAATTTTTAAAAAGTGAAGCAAACAAAATAAAGTGTAAGGACTACAAAGAAGTAATTCACAGAAGAGGTTATAAAACTCTTCATAGACAACTAATAAAACAAAGATCTGATCTGCCCTGACAGGTAAGGCTCAGTTGGCTGGACTTCATTCCATAAAGCGAAAGGTCACCAGTTTGATTCCTGGTCAGGGGATGTGACTGGACTGCAGGTTTGGTCCCAGGTTGAGAAGCATCTGATTAATGTTTCTCTCTCACAAAGATGTTTCTCTCCCTCTCTTTCTCCTTCCCTTCCTTTATCTCTAAAAACAAATAAATAAATATCTTTAAAAAAAACCCTAAGGTCTATTTTTCACTACCATATAGACAAAAACTAAAGAACCAATAATACCCAATGGTTTTGAGGGCATAGGGAAATTGGATATGTTCTAATTATGTAGTCATACACCATTTATGAGAATAAAAGTTTGACACAATCTGTATTAGTAGCTTGGGCTGCCATAACAAAATACCACAGATTGGGTGGTTTGAACAATAGAAATTTATTTTCTCACATTTTTTGAGACTGGACATCCAAGGTCAAGGTGTCAGCAAAGTTCGTTTCTGGTGATGCCTCTGTAATTGGCTTATGGATGACTGCCTTCTGGCTGTGTCCTTACATAGCCATTCCTCTGTGTCTGTGGAAAGAGAATATATGATGTCTCTTCCTCTTATTATAAGGGATACTAGTTCTAAAGAATTAAGGCCCATCTTTATGACCTCCTTTAACCTTAATTAACCTTAGAGAGCAAGCAGCCATGTTTTTTGAAACATGACATAAAAATAACAGCAGAGGGGACTCTGCAAAATTAGAAGGAGTTATCCTAAACTAAGCTTCCTAAATGTTCAGCAAAACAAATGTTTGCAAGAGAAATGAGCAACGGAAAAGGTCCCAGGGCAAATCTGACACAAAGTTTTTATTAAAAAAAAATAAGAGACTAATGAGCAAAATAACATTCCTACTGAGAATGAAAGCATGCCAGGCAGTCATGCCCACAAGTAGAACTGTAATCCCACTATTTCAAAATGAGCTAAAAAAATAGTGAGAAAATTATACAAGAAATAAAAGGCCAAATTCCTAGACAAGAAAAAGCTAAAGGAGTTCATCACCACCAAAGCAGTATTATAAGAAATGTTAAAATAACTTCTTTAAGAAGAACAAAGGGGAAAAAATAGAACAAGTGAATAATAAAATGGCAGTAACTACATACCTACCAATAATCACTATAAATGTAAGTGGATAAATGCTCCAATTAAAAGATTGGGGATGGCCGAATGGACAACAAAACAATACCCATACATATGCTGTGTACACAAGTCCACTTCAGATCAAAGGAGAGAGACAAGGTGAAGTAAAATATATACATGTCATGCAAATGGAAATGAAAAAGAGCTGAGGTAGCAACAGTCATATCAAACAAAATAGACTTTAAAGCAAAGATTATAACAAGAGAAAGACATTTCATAATGATAAAGGGATCAATCCAGGGAGAGCATATAACCCTTTTAAATATTTATGCACCACACCTAGGAGTCACCTAAATGTATCAAGCAAATATTGACAACCTTCTTTTCTTTTCTTTTTTTTTTAAGATTTTATTTATTTATCTTTAGAGGGGAAGGGACAGAGAGAGGGAGAGAAACATCAATGTATGGTTGCCTTTTGTGCATCCCCTGCTGGGATCTGGCCTGCAGGGAACCAGCCTGCAACCCAGGCATGTGCCCTGACTGGGAATCGAACCGCGATTGTCTGGTTCGCAGGCCCGCACTCAATCCACTGAGCTACACCAGCCAGGGCGACAACCTTATTTTCAATAGTCAAGATATGGAGACAACTTAAATGTCCACCACAGATGTTTGGATAAAGATTTACATACTTACAATGGAATATTACTCGGCCATAAAAATGAACAAAATCTTTCTGCGTGTGACACTGATGTAACTAGAGGGTATTATGCTAAGTGCAATAAGTCAGAAAGAGAAAGACAATTACCATATGATTTCACTTATACATGGAATCTAAAAAGACAAAATAAATAAACAAAACAAACAAACTCATAGATACAGAGAACAAATTGATGGTTGCCAAATGTGGGAAGGGTTGAGGTGCTGGATGAAAAAGCTGAAGGGATTAAAAAGTACAGATTGGCAGTTACAAAAGAGTCATAGGGATGTAAAGTACAGCACAGAGAATATAGTCAATAATATTGCAATAACTATGCACGGTGCCAGGTGAGCACTAGACTTAGCAGAGGGATCACGTTGTACATTATATGAATGTGTAAGTGCAATACTGTATACCTGAAACTAATATAAATATGGAATGTCAACTGTAATTTAAAACATTTTTAATTAAAAGAAAGAAAAATTTTTTAATTAAGAAAAAAATCAACATAAGTCAGAATTTTAAAAATTCAGCTACAAAGTGACTAGTTCAGGAAACATTTGGATATAAAAATACTTTCATAAATAAAATCAAAATTAGAAGAAATATAAGACTGAATAAATACAACAAATAATGCCTTAAGAAAAACAGAAGGTAAAAAAATGTTAAATTAAAAATAAATGAAGAGCTATTAAGGATTCAAGAGATAGTGACAAATGTTAAACATAGATAATTAACATCAGAAGCTCCAATATATAGTTCAGAGTAGTCCCAAAGAACAAAACTAAAGCAGGGGGAGAGAATACATACTAAAAGCTGTAAATCATGAAACTAATTTTTTAAAAAAACTACATGCTGAAACAACACCACAATGTCAGTACTGACTCAGAATGACTAAAATAGTCATGTTCTGGTAATATTATTGGACCTTAAGGAAAAAAATTATCTCATCATCTAGGCAAAAAAAGCAAGTGACATACAAAAGGAGAAAATTATATTGTCATTAGACTGTTTAACAGAAATGATTACATCAGAAGAATATAGAGTAATATAACTAAGTTATATTCAAGGAAAAATGTGGGCAAAGGATTTGATATCCAACAAAATTAACTTGGAAGTTTGAAGGGCACAGACAATTCTTACCAGCATTTCCAACTAGAACAGTATCAACATATGGAAAACTGGTGTATACACACACACACACACACACGTTTCTTTAGATATTATATATACATATATATGATACTCATGTATTATTTGTAGAACTAAGAAAAATGGAGGTTTGAAAGAAAAGATTATGGTATAATGACTGTGTGATCTGACAATGTGAATATATACTTCATCTATTAGAATGAGGAATGTGAATACAAAAAATGTTTTCACTGTTTTTAAAAATTATATTCTTGGTGTACTATGAATATTGTTATCTTGAGATAGGTATATATATAATGTGGGATAATAATAAATGAATAATCATGAGTCATTTTAATTCTATAACTCTCTATGTCCTTGAGAAAACACATTCTCTTCTCTTTGTGGAAAAGAGATATACACATATAGTCAAAGTTAAGTAAGGGGACTGTAGTGTTTTATTTGATGTGGCAGTATCAGTGTGAATTCATAAGGTTTTTATACATGCATATAAATATACGTATTTTCCTCTTCTCCTATCCCTTCCTTTTGTGAACAATTGGGACCAAGCAAGACAGGCATCCCTGTGAAGCAGGGATGGGTACAGAGTCGCCATGGTCCGGCATGGGATTTGAAGAGCACATCTAGGAAAGAAGACAGCAGTGGCAGTGACCTGAGGTGAGCTGTTGGAGCCACAGAAGAGTATACAGGGTGTGTTCTTGGAGGGATGGCCCATATAGTGGAGGGTGGGAGCCTGAGTGCAGTTACAGAGAATATCTTCATGAGGGGACTATCCAGTGTAGGCTGTTGGAGGCTGAGGAAAGTAACAAGGTTTGTTGGCGCAGGGGGTGCTGTGCAGCAATGGAACAGAGTAGAACTGAGCCTGGGCAGGATGAGAAGGCCATTGGTGTAGAGACACAGATGGTGGCAGTGATCAGTGGTTGGTCATATTTTAGGGAATTGACACAACCTGAAGTCTTGTCAAAGGCATCAAACCTGGGTCTGCTCATACCCCTGATTGACTGCCATGTGCAAAAAATGCAGAGGACAGAGGAACATGCTAAACTACACTATCATATCCAATCAGCAAAATCTAGGCTTCAGGCAGAAGGTAAGGAACACAGGTCAAACATCTTGGGGTCTCCAACACATAAACTGTTATGAAAAGAAAGGAATGGCAGAGGAAATTTGTAATTAAGAACCTCAACACATACCCTGGCTGGTGTGACTCGGTGGACTGAGAGCAGGCCTATAAAGCAAAGGGTCACTGGTTGGATTCCCAGTCAGGGTACACGCCTGGGTTGCAGGCCAGGTCCCCAGTAGGCGGTGCAAGAGGCAATCATTGATGTTTCTCTCCCTCTTTTTCTCCTTCCTTTCCCCCTCTCTAAAAATAAATAAGTAAAATCTAAAAAAAAAAAAGTTTCCCATAAAGAAAAAGAACCTCAAAAATCAAAGAAATGAGGATGATTGTAGTATTGAGGGAAGCACACCTGAATGATAAAACTATAAAGAAATGTAAGGAGCATTTATCATAAAAGTCAGGACAGTGGCTAGTTTTTAGAGGTGGGAGATAATTGTGATTTGGACTGTGGTAGCTGGAGAAGTTTCATTTCTTGATCTGGGTGGTAGTTTCAAGGATGTTTGCCTTATAATAATTCATTAGGTCATGTATTTGTTTTGTGTGATTTTCTGAATATGAGTTTTCTTTTTTGATTATAAAAGTGAGAGAACAAATCATGGTTCTGAATCCAGATGTGGTTCCGAAGGTTTTTCCAAACCTTGATCTCTTGGACCTGTGAATGTTATCTCATTTGGAAAGGGTTTTTTTTCCCCCCCTTAGGATATGAATAAATTAGTGTCTTCAGAAGAAGAGATTATAATGAATTACCTTGACAGGCCCTAGATGCAATCACAAGTAGGTGCATAAGAGAGAGGGAGAGGAACTTTCTGACTATGGCCTGGCATAATGGCTCCTGCAGAGGAGAGTGGTAAGAAGGGCTGTTCCACCATCAACAAGGCAGTGACCAGAGACTATACCATCAATATTCATGGTGCATCCACAGAGTGGGTTTCAAGAAGGGTGCCCCTGGGCACTCAGAGGGATCCAGAAATTTCCCATGAAGAAGACGGTAACTCCAAATATATGCAATGACACGGGGTTCAGCAAAGCCCTCTGGGCCAAAAGAATAGGGAATGCCTGGGCATGGTCGTCCAGAAGATGTAAGGAGGATGAAGGTTCACCAAACGAGCTCTATGCATCAGTCACTTACGTACCTGTCACCACTTTCAAAAATCTACAAACAGTTAATGTGAATGAGAACTAACTGCTGATTGTCAAAGTTATAAAACTGCCAAAATAGAGAAAGGCGGAGTGAATGAGGTGAATGTGGAGGCAGAGATTGGAGTGATGTATCCACTGGCCAAAGAACACCAGGTAGTACCAGCAGCCATCAGAAGCTAGAGTAGTCAAATAATGAATTCTCTTTCACATAAATCCTCCAGAGGGTGCCCCCTGATGCCTTGATTTCAGATTTCTGGTGTCTAAAACTGGGAGAGAATAAATTTCTGTTCTGTAAAGCCACTAACTTTGTGGTTATTTGTCACATCATACATAGAAAACTA